ATATATATATATATCCCACATCTTTATTCATTCATCAGTTGATGGGCATTTGGACTGTTTCCAAGATTTAGCTATTACACACTGTGTCGCTACCAACATGGATAAGCATATATTGCTGTGGTGTGATGCTTTTAATTATCTCTGGAAGATAACAAGAAGTGGAATAGCTGGGTCAAGGGAAGAGGGGATTGTGGGGAGGGGGGTAATGGAAAAAAAAAAGAGGCAGGATATATCATGTACAGGTACAAATTCCCTATGATTAGTGTTATCATTATGTATATCTAAAATGTACCAATAAATGTTTTGCTTTCAAAAAAATCAAATTTAAAGACCCAATCCAGAAATGCACATCTGAAATGAATAGACACTTCTCAGCTGAAGAAGTACAAACAGCAAGTAAATATATGAAAAAATGTTCAGTATCACTGGTCATTTGAGAAATGCAGATTAAAACAATGCTGAGATTCTATCTCACTCCAGAAAGAATGGTTATTATCAAGAAATCAACCAATGATATGCTGATGGGGCTGGAGGGAAAAGGAACCCTTCTCCACTGTTGGTGGGAGTGTAGATTGGTGCAATCACTGTGTAAATCAGTGTGGAGATTGCTTAAAATGCAATTTTGTACTTTATTCTAAGAGATATTTTTAAGTTCATATAATTTGACCCAGAAATTTATTCCTAGGAATATCTAAAAAAGTAAAATATATGAGAAACATGGGGGAATATATATTTCTACCTCAGAAAATGGATCTGACAATAATAGAGCTGTGTGAAATTATTATACAGCCATTATAAAACTATCAAAACAAAATTTTTATGATAAAAAAGAAATTTTTATAAATGTATTCTAATCACATATGATATTCAAAATTTATAGTCATAGATTATATAGGCACAAAAAGAACCAGGATATAGTACAGCAAAATAAGCAGTTGTTTAGACGTCATTGAGTTTAGATTTTTTTCCCTTTAAAATTTTCCAGAAATTTTATAATTTTTGTGCCATGCATTTTTAAAATGATGTATTTTGACATTATATAACTTGGTAGGATTAGTCTTGCTAGAAGTTAACAATAATCTCTTATTGAATAAGAACCAAAGAAATGACATTTCTCACAACAATCATATGACCGCACTGTACAATCCACAATAAAAAGCTCTTTTTCTTTCTGCCTTATCAAAATAATCTATTGACAGACTAGAACTGAATTTGGCATCCTATAAAAACAAAGGAGGCTGTGTTTTTGAAACTTCCCAAGACTAAAAATGAAAAATGTCCCCAAATTACTTTATTATTTCATGACCACATTTAAACCATTTGAAGCCTCAGTTCTATGCCTATCATCAGTGACTTAGCCTTTTCAAACAGATTTTTCTATCTTTCCTCAAATTAAGCTCTATTAGTTACAACCAATTAAACTATTTCCTCTGGATAATCATATAAGTACCAAATAAAAATTGTTTCATGGCTTGATGTTACAATGCCCAAATTATCTACAATGCCCAAACTATCTACTTGCTGGGTTGGTAATTAATGGCAATGAAATACATAGAGCTACTGCATAAAAATATTCTGAGACATGTTGTGTTCATGATCAACTGTTAACCCTAGTGCCTTAGAGTTTTGTGTTATTGATACCAATAGATTTTCATCAGTTGAATCAATAAGGATGTGTTATAATGAATGTTTCATGCTCAGTCTTGAGGATAATAGAAAATTTGCCTCACTAAAAAATGGCATGTCCTTCTGTTCTAATCCAAGTCATTATGGTAGCTGGAGGGTTGTTATCCAGGCAGCTCTTTCTTCCATTCACACATAGCACTGGATTTTCTTCTGTGTTCCATTTTGCAGGCTCTTTCATGATGGCTGCTGAAGAAAGGCAAGCAAAGCCATGCTCTTCCAGGGGCTGGAAAGCCAAGCCCTGTCAGGGAGACCCTGCAGTAGTGCTCTGTGGCTACACCAGAAGAAAGATGTGCAGGGAGCTCTTCCTGTCCCATGGCAAGGGGAGGACAACTTCTCCTTCCAGTAGCAGAGAGATGGAACTCTTCTCATCTCCTCTTGTTGGGGGAATGGCTCAAAGTTGAGCACAACCATGCGTCAGAAACCTGGCTTGGGGGATGCCTGTCTGGACAGACAGAAAATTGCTGTACAGTGTAGTGAGTATTGTGATAAGGATGGTGGAGGGTGTTTAATGAGTCCATAGAAAACAGTGCCCAGCTCTGTCTTAGAGAAGATTTCCCAAAGGAGATGAAAAATAAATAGAGACATAAAGAATGAGGAGTTAGAACAATTAGAGGAAGGAAATTTCCAGGAAGAGATGACACTATGAAAATCAGTCATGCAGCAGTGAGAAAACCAGACAAATTTTCTACCCATATGGATAGTAGCTATGAGCACATAGGAGAGATAAATAATACATAAATATTTGATAAGTGCTGTGGTTACAAAATAAAGCAGAGTAGAGGAAGGAGAAAATGGAGACAGATATCTCAGATAAAATCATCATGTGAGGCAACTCTGAGAAAGTGACATCTGAAAAACACACTTTAAACAAGTGAAGGGGTAACATATGAATTGGCCTGGTAACTTATGAAAATGAAATGCATGGCACTTCCACATTAAAAAAAAAATCTGTATGAAGAATATTCCAGGATGAGGGAACAGAGAGTACCGTTGTGAAATAGTAGCACGCTTGGTGTTTTTAAAAAAATTAGCAAGCAGACCATTGGGTTGATATGGAGATGAGAAAAGTAGCCTGGACATAGATAGTTAGGGTTCCATAGGTACTGGTACGAGATACCTTTGTTTGTTGTGTGAAAAAAATAAAGAATGTGAGGTGTGAAGCATTCATATGAATTGCTTTTTTATTCTTATGAAAACAGAGTCTGAAGCAATTGCAGCATCACACAACAGAGGTGATGGAGGCTTGGATTAATGTGGTCACACTGGAGGTGACATTCAGGATTATTTTGAAGGTGCAAGTGCCAAGACTTACTGATGAATTGAAAGTGACATACTGTTTGAGAGCATCATAAGTATAATGACATCAAGAATTGTAACCTAAACAACTGAGTAAAGGGGAAGATCATTTTACTGAGCTAAACACTGAAGGAGAAACAGGACCAGGAATAGGGGGAGGAAAAATGGTAATCCCAAATTGAGTCTTAGCTGTGTTAGATTAGAAATGTTGGTTTGACATCCAAAATTCAAATACTTTTTATTTGGTTACATAAATTTGGAATTCAGCAAGAAAGTCAAGGCTAGAAGTACAAATTTTGAAGCCATCAAACTAAAAAAATATTTAGAGAAATGAGCCTGGATGCTCTCACCTAACAAGTAAGAGCAAATAAGGAAAGTACCTGATGACTCAAACCTTGCCCACTCCTACCATAAAGGCATCTGAGAAGCCAGGACCAGTCATTTGCAATGAAAACTGAAAGATATAATGCCCTAAAAAGTAAGTGAAGAACGTGCTTCTGAAGAAGGGAATTTATCAACTGAATCACAAGAAAATTGACCATTAGATTTATCAACATGAAGGTCTTTGGTGACCTTTGGAATTGTGTGACATGGTGGAGACAAAAGCTTGACTAGATTGGAAAAAAATGGGAGGGAAAGAAGTGGATACAATGACTAGACAATTTGGTAAGAATTTTTGCAATAACAAAGGGTATAGAAATGAAATAGTAGCAAGAAGGGAATATTTGATCTAGAAAAAATGTTTTTAAGACAGGAAGTACCAAAAACTATTTTCTTGCTGGTAGGAAAGTAGCTAGGGAAAATTGTCAAGGGAAATTAATGGTCTAGGAGAAGGGATAGTTGAAGAAATAAAGTCCTTGGGAAATGACAAGGGATGGGATCTAACACAAGAGAAGAGAAGTAGATGCTAGACAGGAGTAAAATTCCTTCTTCCATAGTAATGGGAGAAAAGGCAGCATGTGCAGGCAGGATTTGTTGATTGAAATAAAAAGGATTCAATCAGACTGTAGCCTAGATTGTGAGGACAATAGTGAAAGTGGATGAGTGACATTTTCAGTTAACTCAAAAAAGATGCTGATCTTACATGATCATAATGTAGATTTGAGTGAAATGCTTATGGAATTTCCCTATATGTTGGAAGTAGAAAAATTGTAATCTCCCAGCATACCTGCTTTAAGTAATAACAATAATAATAATGTATTACATGTGTCATGTGTCAGGCATTATTCTAAGCATTTTGCATATATAAGCCCATTTAATCCTCAGAAAAAATCTAAGAGGTAAACAATAGTTATTCTTATTTTACAAAGGAGAAAACTGAGATGCTAGAGGATAAATAACTTATGTCTAAAGTAACATAGCTAGCAAATAGCAGAGCTAACATTTTAATCCTGAAACAAGAACCTACATTCATAATCAATTGCCACACTATGCTTCTGATCCGTAACCATTTCAAAGCATAAGTTCTATTTAACCTCTTTAAAAGGCCTATATCTTCATAGCCAGTCCTTTACTATACAACCTCTGCAAGGTTTATGTAGCCTGTGCCTTCATAGCCAGTCCTTTACAACATAACCTCTGCAAAGTTTATATAATTATGCTTAGTCTAAAGCTGCCTTCATATGTAGTTTAACTTTTGCCTGTCTCTCCATAGATAATGAACTGTAACCTAACTTGATGTAAAAATGGACTATAACTTACTCTTGTAACAAGTAGCTGAGTCTTCCCGAATTATAGAAGCTGAGCATCAGCCACCCACAGCCAGCCAACTAAGCAAATCAGTTTCAAATAAGGCAAATGCCAAGCTTTAGCCAGTGGAGCTATCTCTGCACCTCACTTCCACTTTCTGTATGTCATTTAGGTTTCTCTGGCTGTAAATATAACCTACCTATGCAATAGAGTGGGCATTCCTGAACCATTTTCGATTGAGACTGCTACCTATCGTAGAATTGCAAATAGAAGCCAGTTAAGACCTGCCAAATTGGGCTTGTCATAATTTTCTCTTTTAACAAATGTGAGGATGAAATTGGCAATTAAAGGTCATCTGGAGAGTCTAAACATAGCTTTCCCTAGGTCCGATGAAGACATTTCATTAGTTTGGCCTGTGACACTGTTGCCTGAAACTCTGATTTTACCTGCTAGGACTCACTGGCTTCCCTGTGTGACCCCTCAAACAGCTACAATGCCTGAAGTTCATTGAAATAACACAGGCTTTCCCTCCAAGCCAATGGTCCGTGGGTAATTATTCAAACATCCAACTAAGCCACTGGACCCAGTAGGGAAGTAAGGGTACAGCATAAATGACTTATAATCCACCAGTCGAGTGTTCTCCTGCATAATTCTATTTACCAGACTTCTATAGAGTTAAGTAGAAACCACGTGCTGAAGGCTGGCCAATGAGCTGTGGGCAGAAGTGACCATGACATATCAGTTGCAACCTAATGTAGTTGAGTCATTCTGCCTTCGTTTCTTTTCTTGGTTGGCAACCATAAAAAAAATCACTTTTTCCAAATAACATAATTCCAAGATAGAGGAGGGGTCCCCAACCCTCATCAGTTTTAGGTGAGTGAGAAATACACATTTCCTGGATTAAGATACTGACATTTTGGGGTTGTTTGTTAAGCATTTGGTGTTTAATTTATAAGGTAAACTAGAGTCTCTTCATCACCAACACTATTCCAGAGTGTGAGAATGCTGCCTCTGACAGAACAGGTGATAAGGAGAAGAAAGGCCGAGCCCCAGAAGTCAAGGTGGCAGAAAGAAGAAAGGAGCTGTGATGAAAGGCTATTTTGTTGGAAAAAACAGAAATTTCCTCAAGGTAACATAAGTAAAAAGAAGAGCTATCTTAAGGGTAATACTTCTCAGGACCATCTAAAGACAAAGAAAAAAGAGTTTCTGGGCTAAATAAGAACACTGAAATTTGAAAATCAGATAGTTCACCATGTTCTCAGGAATTGCATATCTTCTCCCCGCTCTTCTCTCTGATTCTTTTTCTACTCTTCTGTACTGGCTTCATCTGCTTGCATGTGTCCCTACTTGTACACACCAGTCTTGACCCTACCTAGTCTTCCATGAGTGGAAATCCATAATCCAACTGGCTCAGAGTCAAATAGATTCAAAGCCAATGTCCCCCCAAGAGTGAATCATACTGGTTCTGGCAACCTATGTATTGCTACCACTGAATTAGGTAACCATGATCTTTCACCTGATTCAATTAGTCCTGGCCCCAAGGAGGGTCTCAGAAGTAGCTGTGAGATGGGAGAGGGGAGCAACTTTAAATCAGGGTCTGGACAGAGATTGTTAAAAAGACTTACTGTAGAAGAGTACTTCTAGGGACCTTATGACAGAATTGCTAAAATATCTAAAAGGTTAAAGAGGTATGGATTATAGAGAGGAAAAGGCAAAGTATGAGAAAAAAGGAAAAGAATGCCAAGCCAAAAGTAGGTATTAATGCAGAAATGAACCCCAAGTTATAGCAAGATCCAAAGTCAGGTTGCTGCTCCACCATTCCAAAAACACCATTGAAATATATTGAAAATATGAGGCCAGTTAATTAAGGCTTCCACACATCACATCCCACATAAGCAAGGAAATGTAAATTGGTTCTGCTGCCACTAATCTAGGCAGTGTTCTTGAATAAAGTTTTAAAAATTATATTCCTCACTGAAGAATAGATATCTCTGCTGAAAATTTTTTCAAGTTTCAGAGAGCAGCTACAACTTCAAACCAGAGACTGACAGTTACCTGAGGTCAACCCTCAAAGTCAGCAAAATTGAAAAATGGCCCCATGCTGACATAGAACTATTTACCAAAAAACAAAGGTTTATTCTTACATATATTTCAGATCCTAATTTAATATGTCTCCAAAGAAGGCACTTCTGCATCAGGAAATCACAAAGGGGAATTGAAGAGAACAAAAGTATAGAAGTTGTTTTGTAGAATCGTTTTCACAATATTGACTCAGATTCTGCCAGCAGGAATGATTTAATAAGTGACTGTATTGAATGACAAAATACTCATTAATAGAAAATCAGTTTATCCTCACCTCCATTAAGTATTTAGGGAATATAGTTTGAAGGTGTCAAATTATCAGCCTAGCTAGGTATACATTCTAGTCAACACATCTAGGTATATGTCTCAGTCCAGTTCTGGATGGGGCTGTATAAGAACAGGAAATAAGTCAATTTTCTGTCCTATGGTCATGTAGATAATGATGGGAAACTATCATTTACTCGATAGAATAATGACAAGAAAAATTACTAGACTAATTGCTGTATTGTGTGGTATTAAAATGTCAATCCCTGACTTACCCAGAGGACCCCTAAAAAAGAAAAGAAAGAAAGGGTGAACTGTTATTGTGAGACCTTTTAAAGATGATTTAATTTTTTAATCATACATATTTTAAGGCTTAAAGACAAATTTTATGAATGAGGAAAAACTAACACTGTTTCAAAGAACTGTGACATTATTTTTCTTAATCCTCACACCCTCATATAGTAAATACACATGCAAAAATTTTTCCATAATAAATGAGCAAATAAACTACCACAAATGTTTAAGTGGCAGTGTCTTATCAATATAGTAAATTTTCCTCTCTTTTCTCCTTCTTTCTAGAATCTTCTATACCCTTTACCTAGTGTTATTTTAATGCAGCAAATGCTAATTTCAATTCAATTTGCTAAGTATTTGTCAAATTAAATTGAACTATTTCTGGAAAATCTATTTGTAAGGCATCATGCTAGGCAGAAAGACAAAACCACATATTTTCACCATTATGTGGAATCTAAAACAGTTCTGTTAATTGAAACAGAAACTAGAACAGCGATTACTAGAGGCTAGGAAATGAGAGGCATAGGGA